TTGGTGAGGGACCACAATAATGTCATTGCACTGCTACCGGTATCTTTGATGGAGTCCGAATGGCCAAGCTGATCGGCTCAGGTTGCCTATTTGAAATTTCTGCGGTCCAGGGGAAAAGCCAAATGATGAAATGATGAAACGACGAACTCACCGAGCGAGGGCAACATCACACCCGAGAAGCATATAGTTGCCGGGGCGCGTGCTTTGAAACTATGTAGTCTCTAGAAGCACTGGCTGCCTCGCAACAACAGTGACCACAACCAGCTGCCGAATGTACAGCTGCCCTCAGATATATGCTTCTGGCTTTGGCCGTAATCACCGAAGTCTTGCATCACCGAAGTCTTGCGCGTTTCCCTGCTGGGGGTCTCGAGCATATAATGGCATTGTGACTCGCTTTTGCTGTCGATTTGAATCTCCAGCGATGAACGCGCTTTGAGCGACGTATGCCGCATGATGCATCTCGTGAGTGCACTGAGCGCAAGTCGCCATACGGCATGATTGCGTAGCTTGAGATTGAGTTTCGAGGGGAATTCGATAGGACGGGAAAGCTGGTGTAAGACCCGGAAGTCAATCGGTTCGCTAGCGTTCGAGATACTCTCACCACCACCACTATCGCTTCAGCTTGCGTGTAGGTTGGGCAGTTTTGATGATAACGGTGGAAATCCGCTCGCTCGTAAACTGGTTGAGAGCGGCAAGAGCCGGAAGAGCGGGATGTCGAATATTTCAACAATCAGACGAGACACCGCGGCTCTTGAAACATAGGTAGATAAGAGCGGTGGATTCTGAACTTTGTATTGGACACTAATATCACGGACCCCATGGTTCCGAAGCTTTGCAAAGGAAAGCCTAATAATCGGGGTAGGCAGTGCCGAACGAACGAACGTCATCCCTCCATCTGTGACTGCGCTCACAACTGTACTTACTACGGGTGCGGCGGGCTGATGTGAGGGTGGTGTGATGGCCGTGTGAGGGACTAGAAAAGAGGCCCTAGGAACATGAGGGATGTGCCAACGTCGGAGTGGTAAACTCCCATTCACTGCCTCCTCGATTCCGATCACACGCAATCTTGCTCTCGCTTGAAGAGTGACGAGAGTTGCCACTTGAGCTACACTTTAGGTCTTGAGCGGAGTGAGAGCGGGCTACGAAGGCAAGTAATGATCTCCGGTCCTTGTTGTTGCCCATTTCCCAAGCTCCGCGCCCTGACGATTGCCACCATGTTTCTCAGCAGCAGCTCCAACACCACTCTGAGTACTTGACATCTCAATCCGTATCCTCAAATTTCGTGAGTTTCTTCTACTATTTTATCAGTGCGCAGGCTGATTGACAAATAGATTCAACTTCAAGCCATCGGCGCCGGGCTCTATCCCAGCTCATCCATAGCGGAAGTGGCAACCTCATTCCCCGATTCCCCCCGTGCCACGCAGCCTCAGAGTACACTGTCCTTTCAGACAGCTGGCAGTCGCCCATCCTCGTCGACGCAAAACACTTTCTCGGACGTTGCATCGAACCCACCATCCTAGCAGACGATTGACCGGTGGCCACGCACCCTCGTTGCCGCGATACACTTCCTCGAGCAAATTCAATGCGCGGAGCCCGCCGACATTGCAAGTTGCTGGTGTTTCTCCATATGGTTATATTGTGGTTTCTGAGCTCGTAAAACACTGAGATTTCTAGAGCGGAACCTCTACTTTGTCCTCCACCTCGGAAGGGACGAAAACGTAAATCGGCATCAAACCTTCGATACCAACAGTCCACACCCGCAAGCGATTTAGCTATTCATTTCTCCGTCAAAGCGCGAGTGCTCTGGGGCAAGGGTGTTGAGGATATTGACCGAGTGACGGAGAAAAGAATAGCTAAATCGCTTGCCGGTGTGGACTGTTGGTATCGAAGGTTTAACACCTCGTTTCCGTTTTGGTCCCTTCCGAGGTGCAGAAGAAAGTAGAGGTTCCGCTCTAGAATTGAGTTGCTCTGTAGAGAACTCGCAGAGAACTCGTCGCTGGGAGGGTGGAGGGCATCGCCATCGCGTTCGGTAAAGAGTATGTACGGTTGCTGTGTTCTACGAGCTCAGAAACTACAATATAACCAAGTTTACAACCGTTGAACTATCCGTGCTAAGACTGTGGAAACAGTACAGTACCTACCCCTCTCTTGATTCATGATATGACAACCGCTTTTTTTCACTGACGTTGCCAGAAACTTCGCTACAAGAGCCACAGATTTTCATCACCACTCGAAGGCACAGTTTGCAAGATGGGAAGCAGAGTTCAAAGAATAGCGGAGGCATGCAAGAGAACCGAACAGTGACCGGGAAAGTGATGAGGGAGAGCTAGGTTGAGAAGGTCGGGCGGAAGAACATCTTACTAAAGGGTGCGCAGGAGCGGCAATTGCACACCAGCGAGATTGACGTTCTCAAGGAGGAGGAAGGGGGATCATACAGGAGCTGGGAGGAAAGTTGGACCTCTTGTTGGCGTATATTGCGAGGTAGTCTCAGTAAACCTGAATCAGCTTCTGTATGGGAGGCAGTACATACACAATCAAACCATTCTGTTAAAAATGGCAAGTATGTGCGCACAGATGGTGGAGAAACCCACCGTTGAACGGCACGTAACAGGGCAATTTTCATCTCCCCCTCCGCCTCCGCCAGTGATAACGGAGCATTAATTCTCCTAAATCCCCCACTAGCCACCAGCAAGGCGCTTTTTCCATTCCATCGCCGAATACCCGCATTGCTGTACAAAGGTGCGCCACACAGCCCCAGTTATGAAGAGCAAGTGTTCCGCTTCCGATGCGTATTCCCGGACGCCACACACGAATGCACTACCGTATTGATCGAATCCCTTGTACATATGTCTGATAAACACCAAGTCGAGATCGGTCCCGCCCTTCGGAACCTCAAGGTATAGAATACCAGCTAGGCTTGAAGCCGCTTGCTAATTGGAATTCTGAGGGGCTGTCATCATCATCGATGGCAGGAGTTCGGCAGCCGCAACAACAATCGCGTCTGGAGTTTTCCCCCACAAGTGTTGCCATCCCGGAGACCTGTGTCTTAGAACCCCGCAAAACCTTAAGACACCAATTGCCAGTCCCTTCCCCGCAAAACGAACGGGTGGGGCCGTATCTACTAGTAAATACGGAATTACGGAATTAGGTGTCTACCGGGTACCCGTGATGATCTTTGTTAGGCTGTAGGGAGCTCCGAGTGGAGAAACTGCTGAGAACAAGCGGTAGTTGACACGAGAAGACGGGAAGACGGGAAAATTGTGTACTATAGTGTTCGAAGCCACAATTGCAACCACAACTGGTTTTGGGGTACGAGATAGGTAGACCGTCCCTATGAAGACAGCAACTCGGTAGCTGGCTGAGTAATAGCCGCCAGTATTTCGTGTCGGAGACCAAATGTATCCCACCAACTGCGACTCACACTAACATGCCAATCGTATCGGCGTTGATTTGTCGACAGCGCTGAACAAGTGGCAAGCGGTGGCACTTGACTGGTACAAGAACTTACCGCTGCTACAAGTATGTAAGCAGTTAGTGTCGCACTTCGAAATCCAACCGTATCTAAGTGCAGTATGTAGGCTTGCCGTCAGCCGTTGCTGCGGAGCGGGAGGAGCTTCTCTCACAGTCCCTAGCCCGATGCTCATTGCTAATACATACGCTGGATCACTCGATGCAGCATACCCAGATAAAGTGCAAGGGGCCTTCAATGTGAAATATGACCGTGCATAGTGCAGGGCTGGAACGCCGAAACTTCGCCGAACTCTAGATGACTGGTTGGATGGGCGACGCACCGATCCGGAGTGCAATAAGTGGTACCACGTGCTTCCCGTATGCGATGGAGGGATGAGGGAGGGAGGGGAGGGAAGCTGCAACTCGAACTTCGAACTGTTAGCCATCAATAGATGTCCTTTTCCGTTTGCCCTGTGCCCCACTTTTCCTTCCGTCGAAGTGGTGCGATGCGTGTTTCTCCCCCGTGGCCGCAGATACCTATCGACGCCTCCCTAGTGCGCCCAGCAAGCGAGACCCCATGTAGAGTAAGTAGCCCCTCAGCTCTCCATCCGATTGCCTTTCCCAGTTCTGTGACGATCTCGCCCCCCCTCCGCGTCGCTCACGGATCGAGGTGGCGGGCGCTGTCGGGATCGCTGCAGACTAGGATGCGGAAGACGGCGGCTAGGTGAGGGCATCTCCGCTCGAAGCGAACGCACCGCCAAAAGTAACTTAGGCGCAACAGGCGATGATCCTGGTTCATGGTCACCGGCAACAACCGTTTTCGCCCTCGCCCTCCGTCGTCGTTGCCGTCGGGCTCGGGCTCGGGCCCACAGACGTCTCCAGCCACTCCCACATGCACGACATCGGGTTCGAAACCGCAGCGCTCAAAACGGCCAAGAAAAGCACCCCCGCACCCACCCCCCTCCCACGCCACCCCCTCCCGTAGTGGTGCGCGGCGGGTGCGGCGGCCGGGCGGCGTTCTAATGCAGACTTCTGTACGCAATCGATACATATCGGAGTCGGCAGTTGCGTTCTAGTTATTCTTCCTGGCCTCGCAGTATGTAAGCGCGGAAACACCGCGCGCCCGACCGCCGGACCCACTGGCCCCATTCGGCCTCCCTCTGTTGCACCTCAGCTGGCCACGGGTTGAACGCCGCCGAGTGGAACATATCGTCCAGGGATTGTTGCATGGCAGAAAAGAGACGAAAAACAAACTACGGTGGCCACATTGGTGGGGCCTCATTCCCGTATGTTTCGGACATAGGTACTATGTATGATACCTACATTATGTACTTCGATAACACTATGTACTATAGATACGCGATTTCCTACGGCCAAACCGCATCCATGGTTCTCACCCACCTACTCTACTCTAGAGTAGCAGTTACCGGTAACTGTTCTGCTATCACAGCACAACCCGCATCGGGACCACCGGTACCGAACCCTAGGTCACGGTACGCGGGTTCCACAGCCCAAAGATCCCCAGTGCCGATTCTCGATCGAAGCCCGGAAAGGACTGCCCCTACCATCACCGAATCACAGCGATGCAGACAACGGTGCAGCAGCCATACGCTCGAAGCGCTACATACTACATACTACATACTACAAGCGGCTTTCCACACCAACACTCCCACCCCTTACTGCTGTCGCATACTTGCATGTGTTTCTCTCATGTCGCTGGCACACGGATTTACGCAACCCGCATCTGACCGCACCACCACTGTCACATCCACCATCACATCCACATCCACATCCACATCCACATATCCACCACCTCAATGGCACACAACATAAGAGCAGCCTCCCGACCCGCTTCGATCCCCACCGGCCACGCACCACCAACACCACCACAATCACCGCAATCAGCACCCTCACAACCTCCCAATCCTCCCAACCCTCCCTCCAAAATGCCAACAGAAACGCTAAACACTTCAACCAACCTCTCAACGCAAGCGCACATCACCTCACTCTTCTCATCACTGCAAGACCCGATCTCATCGAGCATACTACCGATCAGTACGCGGCGACTGCGCGCCAAAATGCGAGGCTACTCGCCGCACTGCGCCGACCCCAGCAGCAGCAGCGCCGTGAGCTCGCCGACGGGATCGACATCGAGCACCGGCAGCGCGGCCACCGCCGCCTCCTCCGCCTCCGCCGCCTCCCACTCCTCCCACTCATTCTCGTCGTCCGCGGGCACAGTACGTGTGCCGATCTATACCAATTGGGTCTTTGTCACCAGCGCGGAGGTCCTAGCGCGCGCGGGCGAGGGCGAGGAGGAGGCAGAGCCGCCGAATGAGGCCGCCGGTGGAGGCACAGCTGGCAAGAGCGGCGGCGGGTGGACGAAAAGGCAGTACCGCATCGAGAGCGAAAAGCTGAGGGGGAAGGAGTGGGTGTTTCAATGAGCATGTGCTTGATTGATTGACTGATTGATTGATTGTGCTTCGCATGTCTTTTTTTTTAATCTGTGTGCAGCGAGCGAGCGAGCCCCAGCCCATGTACATCATATGAGCTGTGGTGGCTCGTCTCGGACATCGAATCTTTTTCTTTTACATCTTTTCTTTTCTATGTATTCCCTTTGTTTCGTTCGAACTGCATGGGACGGTGTATAGGTGTATGGTTGGATTTTGGGGGATACTCTAGGCTGGGCTGGGCTGGCGTTATTTTATTTTTATTTTTTGTGAAAACTGCCTGGTCCGATGGAATGGTGGCAGTCAGCAGGCAGTCGGTGTGCGGATGATGGCTGGCTGGGGGCGTGGAAACGGGATGGGGATGGGAATGGGAATGAATGGAGTTTTCTGCTGATACACAAACGCCGTGTGAATTGTGATGGCGATTGTGATTGTGATTGTGATGTTTTGCATGTAGAACAAGCTCCAGGCTTCTCCTCCACCTCCACCTCCTCCTCCGTGAGCAGAGTTAGTGTAGGCATCCTAATAGCACTCCACATGACAAGTTCGGGATCCGCCTACCTACATGCTCTTTCGCACTTATACCCGCCGTTTCCGTCGGATCGAGTTCAATTTCAATTTCAAAGCTCCATTCGACCCTCGACTTTAAGGCCACCCGAATCCCGACCAATTACATACAGGCGGTAACTACCAGCCTCACGCCGTTGAACCGTTTTTTCTTCTTCCCTTTCCTCTTTCTTTCTCAACGCAACGCCCTGCTAATCCGCGACTGCCCTGCAGCTTGTGATACCGGTATGTACTATGTATGATATGTAGAGTCCCTATGTAGAGTAACTATGAATGATCGAGTCATGGTTTTGGGGGTCCGTGCGTCGCTGCCTGCAGGAATATCAAGAGGAATTAACGGTGGTCGGGCGTTGCTGGTCCGGTTGGGACTTTGGGGACGGGGGACGGCGACGGGACAGTCCGTGGCAGCGGTTTCTGACTATGATTTGGAATGCGGGAGACACAAGGCGCAGTGTACGGTACGGTAAGAACTCGATTGATAGTCACTCAGATATTGCGGCGGGTGGGGTCCGGTTGGTTGTCTGGCTGCCTGTTTGTCTGTCTGGCTGGCTGGTGGGATACCTATCGTGTGCAGACATCCGTCCTATCTACAGTCTACCCGCTGGTAAAACTCTATCTCGCGGTGCACTTGTCACTGTCATCCTAACTTGCACACGCTAGAAGGAAGGTCTGGATGCCGCCCCTTACATCCCCTATCCTCCATCCCCTATCCTCTATCCCCCATCCTCCATCCTCCATCCTCAACGCCAGCTTCGGACTTCTGGCAGCTAACTAGCGTCAAGGCTGGCCGACTGTTGTTGGAAGAATCGGATGGTAGATACTCTACTCTATAGATGACTCTTGCTATAGCTATCGCTAGAGTAAAGGAGCTACCCTGCCACTGAGTGATACTGACTGACAGCCTAGAGACTATGATACCTAGTGGATGTGGTATGCAGGGCGAGGGAGGGTCGGACCCCAAGTTTCATTCAAGTATGCTACCTACTATAGGTAATCACGTGACGCGTGTGGCCGCGATACGCGGGGCTCTCCGCACATCGGATCGACATTGGCAACGGACACGGAGATATCAGACCGGGGGTGCGGGCCACCGCACTCTACTCTAGAGCCATTGTTACTGCTGCTGATTCTGTGTCTGTGCGAACCCCCCCTCAGCGTCCTTCGTCGCTCTCGCCTCCCAGCCCTTCCCCCTGCGCCTATCGCCGAGGCCAAAGCCGGTACCGGACGCTCTGATCGCCGTCAAGAGCTCCTTCCCGCCGTCCTCATCGCGCACCACGCTCTCCGCGCGCGCAAGGTAGTCTTCGTGCTCCTTCCCCGTCCATCGCCCCACGTCCTCGATCACGACCGCTTCGATGTGCGAGATATGCAGCGGCGAGGCGATCTTGACCGCGCTGGCGGCGGTGGCCGACGCGAACAGCGCGTGCACCGTCGGCGTGAAGGTTGATGTTGCCGAGGGGAACTGCGGGGTCGTTAGTGGGGGGGTGGGACGGGGAGGGGAGGGGGATGCTACGCACGCGTAGAGCTTTGAAGGCCGTTACTTGGCCGAATTTTTGCAGCGCTTTGAGCACCTGGCGGGACTCGGTGACGTTTTTGGGGGGCGGCGAGAGGCGGAGGGTCACTGCAAGCGTGGAGAGTTGGGTGATCGTGCGTGACATTGGGGGCAAGTTGTTGAAACGGAACACGCGTTACAGACCGCGGTTGAGTACCTGTACTACCTTTGCATGCCGACGCACCCCTAACCCTTCAGTCACCCCGAGTCACTGCTGTCACCGCCTTTTCTGCACTCAACGCCTGACTCCAAACGCCTGACTCCATTATCCAATCACTCCTCTATCAAAAGGCTGGCAGCAAAGGTTGGCAGCAGAAAACGAAAAACAAACCCCCATTTCAACGCTAAACCGCCTGTTGGTCCGCGTCCTCCCACCATTCCATCCCATTGACCTCAGTCCACCTCGTTCCCCACGACTGTTGCAAAAGACTAACCCTCGCATCTCTCCCTCGCCTACCGCCGTTACTGAACACTTCTGCCGATCTCGCCGTTGTGTTTCTCCTAAGTGCAAAAACCAATGCCACCGTCATGCCACAAGTCAACGCCGTGTAGACAGCTAACCCGGTACGTACCAAACCGGCGTCCTCCAAACTAGCGCTAACCCCAACCGCCATTGCGGCAAACAAAAATGCAATCCCGTGGAAAATTGCCAGACCGGAGCTGAGACAGGGATGCGACGTTGTAAAGCTCTCGTCATATCGGTGGAGGCTGGCCGGTAGTTGTGTTCGGTGCTGATGTGTCGTCGAGTTCGATAGCGACCCAGACCCCGGTGTAAGAGCGGGTTCTGGAAGATCGGATATGTCGAAATTGTCCATCATCATGTTGTAACACTCTGCGATGACCATGGCACCGGAAAATGAGACAACCGCTGTAAAGAATACAGGGGCCATGAAGTGAACCGGGGGCCCCGCGGCCGAAATGGTTAAGGCGATACTCGCCATTGGTAGCAGAATAGCACCGGTCCAGAGTACGGCTCGGAAAGGATGTTGTCCAACATCTTTATGACCGTAATTATTGTTGTGTATCGCTACACTCGAACGATGTCGGAAATTGGAACGATACAGCTTGCAGAGTTGAGTTGGAATAACAAGTAGGGCTCCCGCGGCAAGCGCAAAAACCGCAAGGCCAATGTCAGTAGTGGCGAATCCGTAGGTTGTGGTAATAAGCGACGACAGGAGCTAAAGCGAGCTGTCAGACATTATTCAACCCGAGAACGCGGACACGAACCATCATAACCAGCATGAGATAGCCAAAGACCCATCCAAAGTACACTGCGATGATCAAGAAGCCCTTTTGATGGAGCATCTTCCAAGTCAATACCATGCCAGCCCAGACCTCCTCCCACCAGTATTCCGGCGAAGTTCCAAACATGACCAGCTTGAGTTCTCCTCTTTCTGTAGCTCCCTTAGCGGCGGACCGATGTTCTGGTTTGTGGGTCATTTTCCACGGTGGTCGAACTTCCGGCGCTACAACGACCAAGACCAGAACGAAGCCGGCAAGAATCATGACTGTCCAGAATCCCCAAGCAGGATCCGTGGCGTCAACTGTTATCTTTCCGAATAGATACCCAACAGCTGGAGATGCGACAAATAGCCAAGTGAAGATACCAATCCACGCCCCCGTCCTCACACCGGCATCGCCCCCGGGAATATTGTTATACACGTTTTGACCTTCTATGGGGACGGGACTGTTGTAGACTACGCCGCCGCGACAGCAGGCTCCAGTGTCAGGGCCAAACAAGTCGAGGATCGTCGCCAGGGAATTCATGAACGCAAATCCAAGCACTATCCCAGAGAAACTACGAAAGAAAAGCAGGCAGACAACATAGGGTTGCATTGTAAACGAAACGCTTGGTTGGACGGTATGCGGCGGTAGCGATAACGCCTGCGGAAGCTGCAATGGAAGCATAAACGCAATCGAGAGCAAAAGATAAGGTTTCCGTCCGTGTAGTAAGGGCAGCGGCCAAAAGAACAGAGTAGGAATGAAAAGGCCGAGAAAGAACATTGAATTGCCCAAGGATGCCACCCGCGGAGTGATCTGTAAGTGCTCCTGTATCCTAGGGAGCTCTGCCTAATAGCTTCCGATAATCCATCCGTTTAACCCCACCACCGCACAGGCAACGCTAGCTGTGAATCGTTTGCTCCAGAGATTCCACTCCCATCCGCCCTTGTATCTTCGTGGTGCACAAACGACTGCAGCCTCGGCAGGCCTAGGAGGCCCGAATTCGAGTGACATGTCCGGGCGAGGGAGACGGACCAGAATGATCTCGCCATTCTCTCCGACTTCCATGCGAAATTGCTGCTCTAGGTTCCCAGGAACCGAAGCTCTAGCGATAGATCCTTCCCGACTGTATCCTTTTATGGCTCTGGTTGAAGCCATCTCGGAAGCAGAAGTGTTCTGCCGGTTACTATTCCATGCGCTTTCCCGCTCAGACTCCTGCATATCGATAGATTCTTCCCGACTGTAACCTTTGATGGCTCTGGTTGAAGCCATCTCGGAAGCAGAAGTGTTTTGCCGGTTGCTATTCCATGCTCTTTCCCGCTCAAACTCCTGCATATCGATGAATGGAATAGGAGAGCGATGATGTTTCTGTCGAGACCGCCCTTTTCCGTTGCGTTCCGACGTTCTCCGACTTGAATGCTCCCAGTTTTCCGAAGACACACCTACTGAGCTTCCAATACTGGCGTCCTGCTGAATTACTTTGGTCCTTGAACGTTTGGGCTGATCTTCCGTGAGCTCGCTCGAAACATCCTCCGAAACCTCCATTGGCAACCCCGAAACCTGCACCGGTATCTGTTCCGACATGGACTCTCTCGTCGACTCTCTTGTCGAGTCCTTCATCGAGCCCTTCATCGAGTCGTTCACCGAGTCGCGCATAGACTCCTGTGCATGCTCCCGCATCTGTTCTGGCTCCGGGCCCGCTCTCTGCTCCGGCATCTTCCCTTCCGGCAAATCAATCTCTTCTTGAACATAGATCGACTCCGGGGCAGTCACGGCGGGATCTGTGCCCTCGAAGACGCTCAAGAAGCTTTCATGCGTGCTTCCCTTGGCACTCCGTATGCTCCTATCGCGCTGATCCAACGCCGAGTGGGAGCCTTGGACGGCTCGTCCGGCAATCTCCAGTGCCTGATTCAACATCTCTTCCAGGTCGCTGATGATCCTCGTGAACGATGGCGCGGAATTTGGAGTACCCAAGTTCTCCGTAGATCCCATCATGCTGCGAGATGAGTGGTGGATGTTGGCTCGGATGAGATCCGCCACGCTTGATTCGGCTTTGGAAAGGTCGGATTGCACGTATGCTTGGTGGAGCGTTAACGGGGAGCGCTTCACAAGGTGTGGGTCCGAGTCATCGTAGGACGATAGGGCTGCAAAGGTGTCTGTCGAATACTTACCACTGTACCCAAGGGGGGCATCTTCGGGGTGTTGAACCGAAGGACTTCTCGTAGGAGCTCCCTCATGAGAGGTTGACACTGCTTTAGAACCATATCGTTGCTCTGTGTATTCATCATAGTCGAATGAACTCGCGTTTCCACCAGAAATGGTTGCCGTTCCGAGTGCAATCTCCTCCTCCGGAGTGGAAGCTCCAGTGTGCCCAACAATTGATTGGTTTGGTTTGTCTGCGTGTGTAGAATGCTCATACTCGTCGGACCCAAAGTGATCGGAGGTTCCCATAGAAGTTGGTGACGCTTGTGATACGGTAGGACTGGTAGCAGCAGTGATTCCGATGAGAGGTGGTGGAGTGGCGATGGTGTTTACGGGTGTATCTGCATCCCGTTTTACCGGCGAACCAACATGGAGAGGCCGAGCGAAAAGGTCCGGAGAATGTGACGACGATCCACTGTCATACAACACCCTGGTGACCGGATCTCTCGTATTACTGGGAGTTTGCTGTGTCTTTCCCGTGCCACCGCCGTCCGACGTATCGTGCTCTTCTCCTCCGCCACCTGCTTCCTCTTCATCCTCCGACGACTCGACGAGAGCTTCAACGGCGCTTACACCTGATGCCGCAGGCGAAGGCGTCATTTTCCCCAGACTTCGGTGCTTATTCCGCATTGGAAACCCGAATGGAAGCTGCGTCTGTCCAATATCCGCAGGAATGGACGCATGCGAGAAATGTGGGCGACCAAGGGCGGGGCTGTATTCCCTGACAATCGAACTAGCCACCGTCTTCTGGACAACACTTCCTACTCGAATAACTGGCTCGAGGTCCAGCTCCTCCGATGGCTCGTACCTATTGTCGTCATCTCGGGGTAGGAGATCTCCGCTTTCGTCGGACATGGCTGAGGATTTTCGCTGGCCGTCAAGGGCTCCCGTGCCCCCGCTGTCCCCAATCCCGTCTCTTCCATCCACGTAGTAGGGTGACGCGGCGCCGGCGAGCCCGTGGGTCCGTGTCCGCTGATTCTCGTTTGACCGATCTGCACCTCCTCCGTCGCCGTCGTCCTCGCTATTGTCCTCGTAGCCGTTATCGCTTAACGTGATCAGAGCCCGAACCCGACTGTACAGAGATAGACCGGCGAGCTCTAGGGCTCCTGGGGGTGAACGACTTCCAATCGATGTTTTGGACCGGCGCTGAGAGCTCACCGTTAGATAGACTCTCAATCCACGGGAGGGGGGTGCTCCGACAACGTACATGAAGGTCTTCGGTCGTCAATGGTAAAGAAGTCTGGAGTTTTGGAGGAGGAGGAGGGCGGGGAGGAGCAGATTGGGGCCGTATGTCCATAACAATATTCCGTGTTTAGACCATTTGCGTGAGGGGATAATAATAGGGATAAAAATGGGCACGGTTGAAACGAGTGTGATGGCACGAGGATATGGATGGCTATGGATGGATGCGGGGAGGTGGTTGCATTGCGGTGCGATCCCATCCGGCAACATGCATGGATAGACCGTCATGCAGCAGCACTCGTCTGCTCCTATGGAACAGCGAAATCTGTACTAGGTATATGGATGTGGGATGACAATAATCGACTGCAGAATAGTGTGCTTACTCGGCTCCTGGCACGTCTGTAAACCAAACTTAGAACTTTCCAACATTCCATGGTGGTGATATTGCTGGAATATTCCAGTCCATCGCACGCTGTTGTTGATTGTCCGCGGATTCTTTTCCAAAATAGGTACATCAGTACATCAGTACCACAGCAAGTATGTAGATACATTATTCCGCTTTGCATAATGCACCGCCAAACTCCTCCATTACGATCAGCATCCCCATTCACATTTGCACCGGCAGTAGTCATCTAGAGACCGGTCGAGGCAGGGCTCTTCAGGTCGACGAGTCCTGGACCTCCAACTTCGGGACAGTGCTCGTTCTGAGTGGTTGTCTATTACCTCTTTGGCCCAGCTATGTATCAAGTGGCCTGTTTTAAACGACCAACTGAACTGAAAAGGAGTGGGTATTCAAGAGCCGCAACGAGATCACGACCGGGGCCGAGTGATGATTTGCGCACCCGGTGGCCTCGGCCGGCACAGTCCGCACTGTCCATGGAAAATCCCAAAGCTGCAGTGTACAATTGTGGCCGATGGTATGTTCGTCACCAGCGTACTACCAACGCATATCTAAACAAGCCTCGATTATGCCTTTCCACAGGCCAGTCTCGAACTATGTAACCTCGTTAGCCGCCTGCAGATTGAAGGATCCACGGTATTCGTAGCGCATTATGCCTTCGCAATAACGTATTGCATGTGGGGGGATATCGGACTAGCCGACGGCGTGGGATAAAGGTGGACTATACATCTTAGACAAGCCAGACAGCGATCGACCGGTAGCAGAAAGGCGTTTTCGAGGCGAGAAACCCAACCGGATGCTTAGATACCTATGATATCGACTGTACATATTTCCAGCCGGTAAGTCTGCGTCCTCCGCCCACCTGTGGATTCGAGGTGCGGGGGAGTGTGGCTTGACTTGAACCAATAGTTAGCACGGCGGCTAATATATTAGCCTTGACGGGACAGCCAAAAATAATACATACACTGACAGACACATAAACATAAGCCCAACAGTCAACTGGCGTTTGCCCGTGACTTCCGAAGCGATTATACGGGTTGCACGGGAAGATAGGCTGGGCAGGGGGCCCACCATGTACTCTCGATGTTTACCACTATTTCCAGGGCAGTTTGGCGAGGCCGTCTGCTTTGAGGGTTGCTGGTTGGCGATGGGAGGGGGGCCTTGCAGATATTGTTTTCCGCAAGGATGGCACCGTCCCAACCGAGACACCCTGTGGTTAGGGGGACACCCTGGGCCACCATCTCGCGATTCTGCTCGAAGAGAAAGAGAACGTCAGTTTATGCTCGCATACGGCCTTGCTATGTATTGTACGTTCATTCTGCTTGGTATCTGTTTGTTTGATGATTGATGGCAACTTGCAAGGCCATTCTGCTTAGTAAGAAATACTTGGAAAACGCGCACAAGATACCCTGCGCGTACCGAGTGACTGGCATGATTTGTTCGATTCTGACTGTAAACGATAACTATTCCGTCCAAAATCTCCGTCTTTTCTCCTCAAGTAGAGGAGAACGGAAATACGGAGACTTCACGGTGCTGAAAAGACAAGCGGCTCAAAGTTAGGTGTCAAATTCGGGTCGGCTCAAGCTTGAAGTATCCACAGCCGTACGACTTATGTACTGGGGTTTAACATGCGCAGAAGGTCAGCATGCGCATGAGAGTACCAGCAGCAGCATCAGCAAGCTCAAACATCGGCTGAAATGTGGCGGAGTCGCTGTAGTACATACTACTAGTAGCAGGAACCTCTGAGCCACACTCATATGCAGACGCTGGGTCATTCCCAGAGTGGTGGCGCCTCTCCGTATGTATCGGCACAGAGAGACACGGCCCCCAATCGAGAAGATTGGTATTGACAGATGGGGATTTGTACCTGCAGCAACCGGAAGTCCACATATCGGCATAGTAATCACTAGACCCTTTGCGATTTAGGCATCCAAGGATACTCTACATAACCAACCCATGTCAGCGCTTCCGCGCCAACAGATCGGGAGTGGGCCAAGTCCACGGTAAGTCGGTGTGTCGATTCTTATAACCATGGCCGCCTCTCCTGCCTCCCTACAGTTACGGTTGAAGAGTTGTCAAATCTCTGGGAGGGGAATACACACGACAGCGACAGCCAGAGGGAAAACGAGAATCCATGAATTCCAGAACAACAACCAGTTCAACATCGAAGTCGAATCGGTAGTCGAATCGGTAACTGGATATCGGTCCGGTCAACCATACAATGCAACGGCCATACACAGTCATTCGAAGCACCACGTTCCTTATTGTCCCGCGACAAGACTACACCGGTCTACTCACGGATCGAACAACTTTGAGGACAGCCGCAATCACTCTTGCGGACGGTGTTAAAACGCAATTCTCCTACGAGCAGCATTTCTCGACCGGAAGTAATGCTCCCTGCTCTGCACTGCACTGGACGCTTGCTAACCATCCGACCCTTCAGCTTCGGACGCCGCAAACCAAGAACCAGGGCCATCGTCCGGGCTCATCATCGGATTGAGCGTTGCGCTGCCCCTACTCTTCATCATGATTTCTGCGCTGGTCTACTTCGTCTTCCGCCGACGACGCCGACGGATGCAAGCTGCCAGAGCTCGAGAAAGCCAAAGGTCTTCAACATCGAAGACCAATAAACAATCTCCCAACTCATCAACCAACTCCAGTTGGCGGTCCTCCGACTCCTCTTCGCCACGGTATCCCCGCAGCGCCTCACCACCTCCTCCCACAATACACCTCTCTCCAGTGCCAGAAGCCCGGGGCCGAGCAAAATTGGTAACGATAACCAGTAATCGACCAGCCCTGCTTGACCGGATTCCCAATCGCAGTGACCCGGGCACTCCGCTCGCCGAACTCGAATCTCCCGGCTCGATAACCGATGGCGGCGACCGGCTCACCACGATGTCGACACTCTTCAATAACCGCAGATGTACCCTCCCGCCGCTTCAAAACATCCACATCGAGCGCGCCAACACACGGCGCTCCTCCGTGCAAATGCCCTTCACCCCCAACTCGATCCAATCACGACCGCACAGCCCCGACATGGTCAGCGCCATGGCGGCCTCCCTCCAATCCTCGCCACTCGTAGTACCTCGGCCGCGGTCCTCCTCATTCAACTCTGGCCCTCTCTCACCCACCCACTACCTCCCCCCACAATCCCGCAGCCCAAGCAACCTCTCCCGCGGCTCACTACTTTCCGCGCCCTCTAAGACCCCGCCCATCGCGTCAATGTCCACGGGCGGCAGCAGCAGCAGCGGCACCTCATCCACCCCCCTCCAATCCTCGTCCACCAGCGGGCACTTCTCATACGGCTACCAATCAGAGTACCCAGAAGTGTCTGGGCCGCCCCAGCCACCGATCCCACTGGGTATCGATAATCGACAGAAGGAGTTCCGGCTGCTCGCCGAAGAGGAGCGGCTGATCCGTGAGCGCGTCAGGGCTACAGAGGAGCTCATCCGCCTCAAGAATGAGGAGGCGAGGATACTCGATCGAAAACGTCAGCTTGGCATCGCGTCCCCTGCGAGTAGATGATGCAGACACTCACACACCCACCCATCCTACACGGCGACGACGGCGGCAGGGCGGAAAACCAAAGCCTATGAAAACCTCTCTCCACCGGTTGCAAGAGCGACTCCAGATGGCGAGCGGAGCCATCGCGTTGATTACCCGCGCAGGGCAGCGAGGCGCGCCCACACAGTAGAGGAAATTCCAGCTGTAGTAACTACCAACAACGATGACTTCAGGTAGAGGGGGGGCTTTGGGATGTTTCCTACACAAAAAACATAAAAAAGACATCCCTTTTCGTTTCTATTGTACATACTTGATCCGATTATGAGTTGAAAGAAGCACTCCAAATGCAATGCATCTACATACATACACAGATAGTTAGTTACCATAGCAGTTATCATAGTAGTTATCATAGTAGTTATTTACTCGTTCCTGCCATCTGCAGCTGTTCCCTCCACTCCCGCAGTATTCCATGGGGGTCAGGGGTCAGGTCAAGGTGGAGGGTGGGGAATCGCTGGTTGACCGGCGATGGACCAACAGTTGGCCGGCGGTGGAGGTGGTGGTGGCAGTGGTGGTGGTGGTCATGTGTGGGGCCAAGGTTGCTGCCTGCTGCCTGGCCCTGATATATTGAGGTGGTCGGACCGGGGGGCATGGAGAATTCGAATTGCCCTTCCGGGCCTAGACCGCGCCGTCATCGGTGAAGACGCGGGTTATGATCCCACATACTCCATAGCACCAGCACATAAATATTCCTCGCCGGCCGACGTGATGGCGAACTGCGCATTCCCCCAGCCTCTTCGTGCCGGATCGCGAGCGAGAGAGAGAGAGAGAGAGAGAGAGCGAAGAACTAAGGGGCTCGTAATTGTGAAATGAGTTTTACGAGGAGAGGCGAGTGAGCGGCTGTGATTATGCGTGCGAACGATGGGAAAGTCCCCCGCGCCCCCAACCCCACACAGCCACTATCCAAGCACCCCAGCTTCCATCGCAACATCCCCAAAGTCTCGTATGCACATTGTATATACGTATTGCATTTCAATCATATAAACCGTGTACACGAGCCGTATATGCCACATCACATCACATCACATCACATCTCTCCTACCAAACAAAAATCAAAATACAACGATGTGTCGATGACGAGACAGAAGAAGTAAGAAGTAGAGATCTACGACATCAGAAAGCAAGTAAGGTAGGCAAGCAAACGTTTAAACAAAAGACGGGAAAGAAAGAAAAGAAAAAGAAAAAAGACACCCATAACAATTGATCCAAGTTCATAGAAGGCAATAACAAACTCCACGCCAGTCCGTTCAGTACATGAAGCCAGCAGTAAGCAAGAAGGAAACCAAAAAAGAGAAAACTGAAAAAGAAAAAAAGCGAGAAACAAACATCCCAATATCGCATCATCGTATTCACCGATGCTTGTACTTGTCCTCGCGAGCGCGCCTCCTCTCGGGCTCCATCGCATTGCCGACTCCCATCAACGTGCGCCCAACAGCCTCACTGACGCCAATGACAGGCCTGATGACCGCCCTGGGAGCGGCTCTTGCGACCGCGGCTGCAACACCTCTCGCATCCCCCCCCTCCGCCATCTCGGCTGGCAATGTGAGGATCGCGTCTCTAGCCTCTCCGAAGTTACGTCTCAGGGACCTCGAGGCACCGCGCAATCCTAGTACAAAACGTGAGTAAATCCCCAAGTAATAGATGGGGATGGATGGACAAACCTTGCATCACACTCTCAGGCTGGTCAGCATACAGCGAGACGATACGTTCGCTGTCGGGCTCGTAGTCGTCATCCCCAACCTCAACCACAGCGTAGTTTTCGCTGCCACCAGAGAGCGCGCCTTCCGCGCTTTGCAACAACGCCTGGGTTCCAACTGCTACCTTGGCCCCTAGTCGGACTAATTCCCCAGCGGTGTTTCGAACAAAACCTCCAACACCCTTCTGCAACGAGCGAACAATACGACCGTCTTTTCTGTATTCCCGGACAGGCACAACAACCAGGTCTCTTGCGCCCTTGCCCAGGTTTACGAGAGAGCGAACGGGCGCCACCCCGGCAAGGACACCACCGAGTTGAGTAGTCTGGATATCGGGCATCCAGGTGTCGTTGAGGACTTTGCTCATTCTCGTGAACCCAGAAATTCCGTGCAGGATAACTCGGCGGAGCACCATATCGGCCTCCTCCAGGATAAAGAAATTCATGAACTCCGTCGTATGACCCGAGCGGAGGCCACCGTAATCGACATACTTAGGTTTGTAGTCCAATTTGACGCGGACAGCATTGATTTCGACCCGCTGTAGGAAGGGCTCTTCCAGTGCCTTTCCTGGGGGTGCAGCACTGGCGGAATCGTCCTTAAATTCGAAGAAGCGAGTGAGGAAGTCGAGGGTGTCTTGGTCGACGTGGAGACGGAGTGGAAGTATGTTGGCCTTGAGAATCAGTTCGGTAGCCGCCAGGCCTGGTACTGGCTTGACGACCATGCACTCAAGACGAACCATATCGCTGTTGATTTCGCGGTCCCCACATTCCTGGCAGTAGGTGACAAACTTCCTCCAAGTGCTGGTGGGAACATTATCAAAGATCTCCAGATCCCGGATCCTAGCATCAACACTCAATTGAACCTCATCGGATGTTGGCGGGAAGAGCAAGAAATCTACATTGACGCCCTTGAGTTCGAATTGCATCTTATGGTGTCTGCTCCGGCTGAGTTTGAGTCCGCTGCGATTCTTCCCTGACCGTGAATGGTGAAAGTCTCCGGTTACGGTCGACCGCGAACGCGCAGATAACGGTCTACCCTCTGCGGTAGTAGTAGCGTATGATGTTTCAGACATCTGATCGTCAAAATGCCTGTTGATATCATTCGTAAGGTCTCCGGGGGCGCGGTTAGCCGGAATGCCGATGTAGATCGAATTGAACAAGAAATCATCGACAACACTCTCATCATCCTCCTCCATGTCGAATGATACTCGTCGGTTTCGTCTCTCGGCGACTTTGGATTCGACTTTTCGAACAGCCTGGGATATGGTGTCCCGCGTTCTCTGCCAGTCGTAACCATCATGGAGATTGAAGATGACATGGACGTCTCGTACTCGGACGCGCAGAGGGAAAAACTCAGCCCTACAGCAAGTCAGTATGAGAAATGAAAAGAGCCCGAAGGAAGGGGAAAAAAGCAAAACCATACTTCTCAACCGCAGTCTGGTTAAGGGACCGCTTTCCTCTCCGCCTCAGGGTGGTCCTTCCGAAATGATCCTCCACGATCACAATCGAGTCTAGCACCTTGACATCTTCCTTGAAGATACTATCATTCCCACTTCCCTCTCTGCTGAGATTCGGGATTCGCATCGCTAGAAGATCCTCCTCGAGCATACTGTCCGCGAGCGCCTCCGATGGTTGCACCGGCGGGGTTTTGTGACCATAATAGCTCTCGACGAATGACAGATTGGTTGGAAGGTCTTCATCATAATGAACCAGATCCTCCTCATCGGTGTCCATGGATCCTGGCATCTTGCGCGATGGGTGCACGAACTTATCCTCCGTCAGACTGGCCAGCATATTCTCGATTGGCATAACCTCTGTACAGTATCGAATCTCGTCGCTCTCGACAGCTGGAGGTTTGAGACCATTGAAGATAGCTAGCATGGTCTGGGTAGAGTCTGCACAGCTCTCGATGAGCAGGAGATCATCCCTGATTTCCAAGTCGACTACGTTGCCAACCACTTGCAGGGTCACCATCGCCGAAGAAATCGTAACCATTGGAACATAGCCCATCGAGACGAAGCCCGCGAGGTGTTCCGACAGCACCTCTCGTCTGCCTCGCATTTGTCCAGGTTCGGCGGCAAGAAGGCGGTCAACATCGTCAATGACCATGATGCCTGCCTTCTTGATTTCCATCCCCGCACTGACTGCTCCACCGGTCGGGAGGGCGGCCTGAAGTCGACATTCGGTAAGTATTATGAGACCACGGGATTTAAGATCCAAGGGGTTTAGCGAAAGAACGGAGTCCGTGATAACAACATCGAAGCCCAGACCACCAGCATCATCGGCTTTGCCTTTCTTCGCAGGTAGCGTGATAATGGAGTCGGCGACGTCCTGGGCAAGTTGTTCACCTGTGGTTCCGTCTGGAGATTCCATTATAGCCATCAGAGTCTGGACATTGTATTCGGCTCGGATATTCCAGAGTTTGACCCTCACAACCGGCTCTGGCTCATCACCGACCATCCGAACCATGATCATGGGCCGCTCGTGTTGCGAGCCAACAAAGATACGTCGATCTATACCTTCACCCAAGAGTTCTTCGTGATCGTTCCGCCTCACGCTGATATTGCCGATGGCCATTGCAACCAAAGACGGTGCCGAGATGTGAGTAATCCCCACCGAATCCATCTCAGCCTCCAATCGGCCAATGCCGCCGCCAATCTTCGCAAAAGCGTAGACAGCCTCGACATTGATAATCGTGAGAAGTCCAGGGCGTTCATCGCCGGCAACGAAGTCGGTGACCGAGAGAACCTGGATGACCTCATCTCCCAGGGCCTTGAATGCATCAAAAACGTCCATATCCAGTAGCTCCCCACGTACACCCGCGACATTTATCCTCGACACACTGCCTTGCTCTCTCTGCCGTAAAAGAGTGTCAATGAGAATGTCATCATCGTCGAATCGGTCTTTGCTTGGGGTCAAAAGCTCCAGTAGTCGACCCAAATCCTCTTGAGTCGGTCGACTAGCGAACTCCATGGTAGTACCCTCAATCACCAAGCTCACATCCTTTTTGTCAGGAACTGGTCCGGAGATGTTGATCTTATCGACGCTCACTGAAACTCCTTTACCAGATTGGAAATCAACTTTGATCGGCGATGTTTCGAGGACGACCTTTGCACTTGTACCAACAACGTCGAAGAACAGACCGCCGATGTCGCAGTGAACTTTGATATCAACAGCCGGAGTCTCGGCCTCGTTTTCCGGCCATGGCGGTGGTCTCCCAGCTTTTCCGATTGTCGCGGTACTCGCAGTCGTACTAGCTAAAACACTCCCCACACCACCGAACGCGCTAAACGTCTCCTCGAGCCTCTTCAGATCTCCCCGTATCCTCAACGGCAAAGTTTTGACATTCACCCGCATCTTCTTTGCGTTTTGTGAGAAGACTACAGTAATATCGTCTTCGTCTCCTGAACCGTTCCCGTGAAGTCGCCCAGCAGTAGTGCTTGCACTAAAGCGTTTTCTGTGATGCGAAGTTGACATCTTAGCGGACGATACCGGGGGCGGCGCAGAACGCAGAAAAGTGATAATACCCTCCTCTTCGTCCTTCAGGGCAAATTTCTTGATCGACAACTTGTTGGTAGATGCTTCGTCGTCGAGGCCCCTTCGGAATAGATTGATATCGTTCAGAAGACACTGCAGCTGGATGGTCGGATCTCCCACATCTTCCTCGTGGCTGTCCGTATAGAAACCGCCGAGGTGTTTGATCATCCGGACATCGACCTCTTTTGCAACGAGCTGCACCGTCTGCTTAGGTCCTGGCTCGGGCTTTGCCTTGGGTTTCTTCTTGGGGGCCTCCGTGTCCTGTTCAGCGATGATATCCTGAACCACCTCTAAGAGATGAGCAAGCATCTTCTCAGTGTGGATATCAACGGTGCCATGGATGTTCGACGCGATTATCTCAATATCGGCAGCGCCCGTAGTCACGAAATCGCCGACAAGATTCCCGTAGGGAGCAACCACCGGTCTTGCATCCACGGAATCCACAATCTTGACCCGGGGCGGCGAACGATATGGAACAGGCGAGGACGATTTGGGCGGCGGCGGGGTCCGAGGGGCATATCTAGACGCGTACGACGAGAATGCACCTGGCATATCCTGCTGCTGGAATCCACTGACACTTGCGTGCATCTCCTCACTTCTATCGCGGGCAGGTGTCTCGTCTCGGGGAACAATTGTCACACCAGCCGACAACGAAGGATAGAATATCGTAACAAGATCGACGTCGATACACTTTTTGCGGATCCTCCTGACGTTGTCCCGAGCTTTAGGCATATCTGGACAACCACCTTCCGTGTGTGGAGGGAGCGAGGAATTTCTGGAAAAGTCAGACTCGCCATTGATGAGTCTGTCCAGACGCTGGTCCATCTCATCTGCGTCAATATCTTCTATAATGTCGTCTCGACCATCAAGCGTCGAGTGCACCCGTAGCTGCGACTGCGACCGTAGCATTCCGCTCGTGGCAGACATGTACAAACTATCGGCTTCCTCGCGGGAGAATATAGTAGACTGGCTGAGCATTCTACTGGCTTCCTGGTCCATCTCATCCTCGCTGCTCTCTATATCGCTCAGGGCTTGTGGCGGCGGTGATGGCGACGGGGACAGCGATGGATCGGCTGCCCGGATCGGTGGTTGAGGGATAGGTTGCACAAAAGGCTCGGTTTTTGGAGGGCTAGAGGAAGGCGAGGAGAATGCTGACGATCCCGCCGATATAACGGATGCCGAAGGTGAAAGTCGGAGCTGTTGAGGCATCGAAGAGGCAAACACGGCCCCCCCAACCTCGTCATCGCTATCATCATCCGCGGCATAATTGTCGAAGTAGTTTTCACGAAGGATGTTGTTCGGCTTGTTCGACAACGTAGGCCGTGTAGAGGCTCTCATTGACGGCCTCACAAAGGCAAGCACTTCCTCATCGGAGTCTTCGAAATCGTCGAATCTATCATCTTGGGAACTATAACTCCTCTGGAGGTCGACGCCGTCCTCATCCCCGACATCGGATGGAGACGTTCCAGTTGGCTGTGGTGAACCGACGGGTGCCACAGTGGAGGGCTGGCGTGGTACGGGCGATGCATCTCGGATTATGCTCCTAGCCATCTCCTCGTCGTCTGTCGTCTGCTTTGCATCTGCGACACCCCCTTTCTCCGTCATAGCTTCTGAGGCATCCCCGAATACAGCACTCTCCTCCGGGCTCGTCCCGAACATGGTCTCGGTAGCAGTGATGAATCCTCGAATGTTCTCCAGCGTGATGCGACGCTTCCCTTCTTTCCGCGGCTTTTCTTGTGGTATTCTCGTCGAATCTGACGGGCTGACATTCCGCGAGACGCCCTCGATGTCTACGTCCTCCACCTCGAGTTCCAGGAACACCTTCTCGCCACCCTTCTCCTCCGGTAGTGTCGCTTCCAGCGACGCACTAACACCCCGCACTCTCACAATCATCCTATCGGCAATGCCCTTGAACATGCTCGCCAGCATTTTGGGCAAGCCGGGCGAGGTTCCAACTCCCAGCTCCTCATCCTCGTCCTCCTCCGACGTAGTAATAGATGACATAATGCTCGCGTCCATCGGCGCCTCCGCATAGAGCGACATGAGCTGTTGCTGCTCCGCTCGCGTTTGAGACTGTAGGAACGACTGTGCAAGATCTTCGGCCGACACAGGAAACTCCTCCGGACTAAGCTCTGAAGCTCTGTCGCCGGGACGCGGGGTTGACGGTGGCGAGGTGCTCGACGCCTCCGAAACATCGTCCGGTGGCGGCGGGGTCACTTTGACGGCTATCTTGACATCGCTTATAAGGATCTCGACGGCGCCCGACAAAAACGAGTTGAACGATAAGCTGATCGAAAGCGTTCCGATCACGGCTTCCAAGAGCTCGAACCGGTGGGGGATCTTGATTAGAGTTCGTAGCCTCTACCAGAGCACGATACCACACACGATTAGAGACAGATTCCACGAAATTTCCCTTAGTGTTCTGTGCCTCACCTCCACCTTGATACCGACATCCCGCACCGTGAAGACCGAATCCCTGCCAAAAGAGCCACCAATATTCTCGAGATCACCGAGCGTCCGTTCCTCCACCAGGTCCAAGCGATGTATGATATATCGAACGAGTCGCTTCTCCCACTGCTGTGGGAGTCTGGGGAACGAAAACATGTGGGGCCGTCTATCGTTCAACCAGTATGGGGGTGAGGAGCGGAGGAGGTTGGTTAGAGAGGCGGATGGGTTTGGGGTTCTTGTCCGTTCGTTGGACGTGGGCGGAGCTTAGGCCTGATTGTGGCTGCTCTGTATGTAGCTTTAGCTGCTGCGGACGCTCGACCAATGGGAGTTGTGGATATCGAGCGCTCCGGGTAGCGAAGGCGTGAGTGCTTGGATGCGGACGACGCGGTAGGTTAAGAAACGACAACAGTTGCCAGCTCCAGCATTTGGGACGAAGGTGAGGGGCAATATGGGGAAGAGGGACAGATGGTATGGAGATTTGAATTAAGCGCTCAGAAAAGTCTTTCAAAGTTAGAGCTACTCCGGCAGAGGAGTGAGTAAGAGGATTTGAATGGCGGTGGGGGGGCAAGAGAGTTGGGGCGAAGGATCTTCGTGTAGGTTCTCTATGGAGGTACTGTAGAGTAGAGTATCGCTGTGCTATCAGCTTCTCATGTGGCCGATGCGCTCTCAAGATCATGTGCTCGCAAGGTGGTTAGTTACACAAGAAGGCGAGCAGCTGAACTCACCGAGTCCCTTCTTGAGCCGAGATATCTGGCCGGGACAATCATAGCATTCAAGATACCCGCACATCGTCAGCTCGGCCTTCCACCAACCCCGTCGATTCTTCCGTCCACCTCGACAACCTCAGCTCGTCCTCCACATCTTCTACAAACGTGCGATCTATACGTCGCAGCCTATTCGACCGACCGAACTCTATTGTACACTCGCAACCATGTCCGGCCTCGAGAAAGCCCTCTTCCAGCTCAAAGTACGTCACCGTCGCCGCCACCGTCCGCGCGCGTACCGCTGCCCCGCCATCATAGGCTAACACCGCCCACAGTTCACGGCCAAGTCGCTGAACCGACAGGCCGCGAAAGCGGGTAAAGAGGAGACAGCTGAGAAGGCCAAGATCAAGAAGGCTCGCATTTCTATCCCCTCTACCCTTCGGATCCGCGCTGATGGTGGGGTGGATGGTGTAGGCGATGCAGCAGGGAAACAACGACATTGCCAAACTCTACGCACAGAACGCGATCCGCAAACAGACCGAGCGATTGAACCTCCTCCGGCTTGCGTCGCGCATCGATGCGGTTGCGAGTAGAGTGCAGACTGCTGTTACCATGAGACAGGTCTCTGGAAGTATGGCGAACGTGGTCAAGGGCATGGATGCGGCTATGAAGACGATGAATTTGGAGAGGGTGAGTCGCACGGCTCCGTGATGGTGGAGGTCGGATGCCGATTAATGTCGGGGGCAGATCTCGGTCGTGATGGACAAGTTCGAGCAGCAGTTCGAAGACTTGGATGTTGCTGTGGGATACTACGAGAATGCCACTAGCTCCGCCACGGCCGTCGGTACACCCCAGGAGGATGTGGATCGTCTCATGGGAAAGATAGCGGATGAAGCCGGGCTCGAGATGGAGCAGGAGATGCCTGAGGCTACCAAAAGCAAGATCGGACCTACTGAGCAGGAGGAGAATGGGTAATTTTGTCCTCGTATTCTGTGTGGGGATGGTTCACTGGGCTAACAACGGGGTCTTAGGCTCAACGAGCGACTGCGGGCTTTGAGGGGATAGATGGACTGATCGAGCCGGTTAGAATTGCACAAGAAATCAACAACTAAATACGCAGTTCCTTGTTGCGCTGAGCTATCTCTGTAGGTAAACTGTAGAAGTCAAGCTACGTGGTTGGCACATCTTTAAATATTGAACACAGAAGGACCAGCGAGCTCTGTAGAGTAGTGGAGTGAGCTGCTATCATGATTCATGAGATAGCTATGGACCCTTACTTGGGACAGCTTGATCATCGAGCTCTTACATGAAGCCCTCTCAACTCTAACTATTCTTTAAAAGCTGGAATTTCCATCGGTATTGCTGACGCCGATGAAACAAATTCGGTCGAAAATCGGGAGGCTTATTTGTATTATCATGAAAAGGTGATGTGAAATCTACTTATCTATGATCTATCGTCATACCTGGATTTTGGTCACCTCGCTCATCGGCCAACATACCACATGCCCCGCAGACACGCAGATGCCCACCCCACGTCACGTTTTGGGTCTGTTGACATCTTGCAGGAACCAGCAGCCGACAAAGGAAACAACCGTGCTGAGTGTGATGAGCTCAGCGGATAAAGTAACGATGAGAATTTATTATCATACCTATTAGCCGTCTGCAGACCCTAGGTATTGACGCTCGATGGTCAGTAGCTACACGGATCGTATGGGATAAAGAAGTGGATCAACTTGTAGCGTAACTGTGGCCGCAGAGGTCAGGTTGCCTTTCAGGGCCATGGTTGTCAATTTCTTGTTACGAGAGATTGAAGAATAGTAATAGAGGCGAGTTGGCATGTACAGTGGAGCCCTTGAAGCCCACAGAGCTTCCCGAATAATCAGCACCTAAGTAGATGAGCACGTGTTCTTCGTTGTTTGGCCTTCTCGTCCCGTAATTACACACTCCATTTCTTAGCAGTTGCACACAAAATCAAAGTCTCCAACGAGCACTCAGTCTTCGTAAACTTGCTTCTCCAGCTCTTTCCCGATCACGTGCGTTGTGTGTGACGCGGCTTGGCGACGACTCACACAAACACCGGCGCGTTCTTAGAAAACTATCGTCAACAACTCTTCGGCTTCAAGACAACTCCTCGGCTTCAAGACAACTCTTCGACTTCAAGACAACTCTTCGACTTCAAGACAACTCCACTCCACTCCACTCCTCAAACACCCCACCTCCTAAAAACTTCACACCTTCGTTCCCGCTGGACCCGTTACGACACCCCTTCCTCTCTAACCGTGATCCCCACTATCGCGACTCGCAGAACCGAAGTACCTAATTGCTACGACTCTAACGACACGCAATGGATTCAAGAATACCCCCCAAGTTTCAATTCCCAGAATCGAAACCGAAACCTACACCGTACTCTCCGCCGACAACGAGCGTATCCAGCAACGGCCTCTTCTCAGCTCAGTCGACCCCCGCAGGCGATCGCTTCCCGGACTCACCGACAAACCTCTCACTATTTGCCGGCGCAACTCCTGCAGCCGGTAAATCACTATCTTCGAAGCTCGGAGCTGCTCGTGCAGCTAGCGGCGGCAGCGGCGGCGGTCTATTCTCGCAAACCGGAGGAAAGCCACTCTTCAGCTTGAGCCCCAGCAATGGCGACTCCAGCCAGCAACCTTTGTTCCCTCAAAACCCCTTCGGTCAATCGCCGATACGTCCTGGAGCTGCCTTGGGCAGGTATTCGAGTCCTGTTGCGGTAGACGATAGCGATGATCTGGGATACACAAACAGAAGCTCGCCAAGGGTCTTGGAGGATGACTCGCGAGAAGATGCGAGATCGCAGGAGGTTGAGGATGACGACACTGGGGAATTTGGTGATGAGGAGGATTTCGAGGAGGACGACGATACGATGCAGGATGAGTCGGAAAGCGAGAGGATATTCGGTTACAACCAAGAGATCGGCTTGCCCGCAAAGGAGCCAGGCACTCTGATCCTCCGCACAGACGACTTTATGAGCGAATTGTCGGACGCGCTTCTTCCGCGATCGTACGAAAACGACGGCTATTACGATGAAGATGATATGGATATGAACACGGACCGACGGGAGCTTACGTTAGAAGTGCAACAAGACCAGCTTAACAGGGCTTCGAAAGCATTCTTGGGTGCCCTCCAGGAGCATTTGCCGAAATCCAGGAGGACCAAAGCAGACAGCAATCTACACAATGCATACTACCTCGCCTCTTTGGCCTTGCCGCTGAACAACTCGACTGCAACTGTGACCGAGGTGCTGCGCAAGTGGCTGTTTGCCCACCACGCAAACCCCACCCGTGCACAGTTGGCCGCCGTTCGGGGAACATATCCCAACAGCGCGTTTGCCGTTGACTTCTGGGACATCGTATTCCGACTGGTGCTCCGTGGAGAGGTATTAGAAGCCATCGAAATCCTCCGCAGCGCCAACTGGGACCTGCGCTGTGAGGACTCTCCTACAGTGAGCAAGCCTGCCTTCGGCTCTCAGCAGATCAATGACAAGCGCTACACGCGTGCAGAGATCGACAGCGTCGAAGATGCTGTTGCGACACTCATTACACTTCTTCTCAAGTGCCCTGCCAAGGGTAGGTCGCCATATCAACCACCGCTGAGTTTCTTCCCTCACATCGACCCAATCGTGGACTCCCCCGGAAGTCCCGCCGATTGGCGGATTTGGAGAGGCGAAGTTTTGAAGGCTTCGGAGGAGTTGAGGGGAATCTCTCAGGGAGACGAGTCTATCGACGATGACACAGAAGATAGCTACTACGGCTCCTTTAACCCTATGAGTCGCAGCGGCAGCTTCGGATTTGGCAACACCAAAACAACAAAGGTCAAAGTCCCACCCGAGTTCAACCGGCAGATTCGCAAGATTTATGATGTGATGCATGGAGATAGAGATGCTATCCTCGTCGAAGCCGAAAACTGGCAAGAGTTGGTTGTTGGGCTCATGGCGTGGGCCAAAGACACATCGTCCGCCGCAGCCGATGAGGAGGAAGAGTTTGAAGACAGCATCAACGTCACGCAAATGGGTCCAGGCGAATATTATTCAGTCTTGCTCACCCGCAGGCGGCGACAGTTGGCCCAGCTCACTGAGGTCCTTGAAATTGTTGCGGAAGAGATGCCGATGAACCCCACGGACACCCTCGAGATTGCTGCTGGCGGAATCATGGCCAACGATCCTTCTTTTGTCCTTGAGATCGAGAAGAATTCACAGCTCGTGGCTGCCACCGTGGTGGAGATCGGTGGATGGGCGGGATGGCTCACGCGTGAGACTACACCGAAGGACCCTTCGAGAGGTAGAGACATGGGGCTCGATGATGATGACCTTGCGCTGCTAGAAATGGGAATCGACAATGATGATATCCAGGCTAAGGAGGCAGAGGACACACTCCGTCGGTATGCTTCCAGCCTGTTCGGAACTCCATGGATCAATGAAGATGCAGAGATCGAAGGATGGGAGATCGGCTCTCGGCTATTGGACCGGGTTAGGAATGGTAGACAACTCACCGAAAAGGTATGTTCTTTTCCGTCTACTTAATGAACACATACTGACACGCGAAACAGTTGCTCGCTGACCTTCCACTGCCATCTACCCCCCGTGTCGAAAAGCTTCTCAGATACACACGAGATGCACGTCTCGATGAGGCAGCATCCACCATCTCCTACAAATGGGCGCAGCACCTGCAAGCGACGTCGCAGAGCTATGGCGACATCTTGCACTTCCTTTCGCTTGCGGCGCCGTTCAATCACAATGCACGGGCCAGCTTGCACGAAACCACCACACACCTCCTGGAGCAATCGCTGCTCTCCTCGTGTCCCTACCCGGCGGAGGAAGACCTTGACCCTCGGTTGAAGCACCTGCTCTCCTCGCCGTCCGAATGCGAGTCTGAGATCCTCCGCTTCGAGCTCTCCGGCTATGCCGCGCTCCGGGCGTTTTACGATCTCCGGAAATCGGCCCCCGAGGCAGCGGTCAAAGCGCTGACCGCCGTCATTCGCGCTGCGGGGGAACCGATCGACGGAGGCTCGTGGGATAGGGACTGGGAGAGCCCGGTTGAGCCCACGGTGTTGCCGGCTGTCCTCAGGGAGCTCCTGGGCTGCGCTGATGCGCTCGGCACTGCAGATGCGCTCGACGTATGCAAGGTGCTCACCGATTGGGAGACTTGCGGCGAGAACCTTAGAAAGGTTTCCGTTGAAGTCGGTCCCGAGGGCAGCTGGATCGACCTGGGCAGGGAGGGTGATGTGGTGAAGAGAGTCAGGGAGAAACTCTGTAAGGTGCTTGCAAGGGGATGGGTTAACTAGGGCCCTCCCTTGTGATGCCTGCGGAGTTTCTCCCTGAGTAAATCTCGGCGGGTTGGCTGGTGTAGTGTATTTTTTGCGGGGGGAAGGGGTGTATATGGGAGGCAGGGGGAATATGGGCTTTCTTTCACTTCTTCTTTCTTTTTTTAATGCAGTAGATGCAAAAAGATTTTTTGTTACCAAAGGATATTTCATATGCGAAACGAGTGCATTACAGACTGATTTTGTTTGGTTTGATCATTGATTGCATACGATCTATCTAGATCATGGCAATATCCGCCCATACACACTCCGTACACTGCACACTGCTTTGAACAAGCCAATCGGAGATACAATTAGACGAGTGACACATGATGAACAAATGGCATCTGCTCGCCCGCCCGCAATAGCGGAATCGTCTGAAATAAACAAAAACTTTTTTTTACCTAAGAAAAGCAATCCCAACGCCTATATGCTCCTGGGCACACATGATTTAAAGAACCACCGCTAACTATTTCGCCTTCCCCTTGGCTGAAGAAATTAGACGTTTCTTGAGATGTTTTGGCATTTTCGTCTTCCGCTGTTCCCGCTTGTCTTCCTTGACTTTCATCTTGTGTTCCTGTTCGAAATATTAACATTAGTTTATACTGAGGGGTGAGGGGAAGTTGCCGACCTTCTTCTCGTTCTTGTCTTCGTGTTTCTTCCCCTTCGGTGTCTTTTCAAATCTCTTTTCTCTTTGCTCCTCGGTCTCCTCTGAATCATCCTCCTCGTCATCGTCGGAGTCATCGGTAAGCTCCACTTCTTCCTCGTCGCTACCCTCCTTCTCGGCCTTAGGGGCAAGGAGCTGGTTGTACACCAGCCCTTGGCCTTCGCCGCGCCCAACCATCTCCGCATCGCGCTCGTAATCGTAAACATCCTCGAGCGTCCGGGGGATGAAACTCTGTCTGAACACCTCCTCTTCCTCCTCGGACTCTCCGCCTCTCGTCAGGGTTCTCAGGATCTCCAATATCGCCTCGGGGTCCTTCTGGATACTCTCTTCGATCGGGGTCTCGGTGATGAACTCGAACAGCTTCCGCATTCCTACGGGTTCCACGCCGCTGCGTCGGAAGAAATCGGTAACGTTCTTGATATCCATGCGCAGGAATTCGAAGGTTCGCGGATGGTTGAGCTCGACGGATTGCGAAACGTCGATGACCCACAGGTGGTTGCGGTGGTAGAGCACATTGTATTCGCTCAGATCGGCGTGCACGAGCTTGCACACTTGGTACATGCGCCACATGATGCTGAGCATCTCGAGGTAGCAGCGGTCCCACTCCTCTTCACCCTGGATACCGGCGTCGCGCAGGCGTGGGGCGGGCCAGCCCTTCTTGTCGCCCAGGAATTCCATCACGAGCACGTGGAGTCGCAGGTGGAGCGGCTCCGGGCACGGGAGACCCGCCATGTGCAGACGCTTCAAGTTCCGGAGCTCCTTCTCTGCCCAAAGCTTCACCATCGAGCGGTGGTTGCTCTTCGAGTATCCGTGGCGGAAACGGTGCTCGCCGGTAACATAGCGATCTCTGTCCTTGAAGACCAAAATCGCCGTCTTGTACACCTTGATCGCAATATGCCGCTCCGCTTCCGCAAGCGCATGGTACACATTCGCCTCCTTTCCAGTCGAGATAACACCATTGATGGTGGAGATATGCCCACGGTTGATCAACTGCAGCAGAATCATCCTCGTGCGCGGATCCAGCACCTGTTCGCTCGTCGCGCGATCGCTCTTATCCTTCCCACCGCCGCCTCCGCCACCGCCCGCCGCAGGACCCATATCATCCAGCCGGATGCGCCCCGCAAACTTCGACAACTGCGTCATCTGGTCGGTCTGGCGCGCCTTCTTCTGCACGGCCGAGTTGACGCCCTTGTTGATTCCCGCGGCCGCCTCGCGCTGCCGGTTGTACCGCTTCGTGAGGTCGCCGCCTCCGCCGCCCCCGCTGACCGGCGCGTCCTCTGCGTCCGCGAATGCATCCGCGTCGTCGTCCTCCGAGAAAATGTCGTCAACGTATTCGTCGTCGTCGGCGAATTCGAGTGCGGGATCCCGGTGCTCCCCTGGCACGGTGGCGTCGACGTAGCCCTTGGTACTGTCGAAAGTGTAGGCCGGCTCAGCTGGGGCGATTGCGGACGCCATTCTGGTTGTGCTTGTGCTTGTCAGTGGGTTTCCTAGAGTTGTGGGGTTCTCTCTGGTTGATCGTGCGAGTAGTTGTGGTTGTGGCAGTGGTGGGGCAGGCAAGGACTGTTTAAAAGGATTGTGTCATAGTGGGGCAATTTGGGTTTGATGGTGGGGGGAACTAAAAATCGGGAATAGCCGATGAATAATCTATCGTAGGGATGTCTCAGATGGACTCATACTCTATCATAGCTAGGGATGTCTCTGGTATGCGTCACAGCTGGGAACTCGGGCTCAGAGGTTGAAGAATCGATCAACATTACAATTTCTTATGAGTGATAATAAAACTATAGTACACCGCCTTAGAAAATCCAAACTACTCATCTACAACCGCTTCTGTCCAAGCCTCCGATTTCCACAGGATTTCTAATGTTTCCTGATTTTCAACGCAATCCACGCCAGCAGCCTGAGGCCCACAATGATAGCCAGCAAGATACCAATCCACATACCCTCCTCCCTCTTGCCATACCCCATCGCCTTCAGGACACTCTGTCCAGCAATCTTCCCCTCTCCCTGCAGGGGCGAGGCATACATGCACTGCCAGCCCTCACCACTCTCTGCACGGTCACACTGGTACTCGCGCCCATCGAACTCGTTGAACATCATTGCCTGGAAGACGTAGCGCTGGTAGTTGATCCAGTAGAAGGTGTAGTACCAAAAGTCGTTCAGCACGTTCTGGGGCACCAGGAAGCCGCCCACACTCATCCACAGGCCGTTGATAAAGGCGGTGACAGCGAGGGCGATGACGAATACCGGGATGACGGAGGAGACAAGGACTACCAGCGACTCGGCGGCGAGGAGATCGAGGAACAGCCACATAACGTACTTGAAGAAGCTCGTTGCGTCGGTGCGGAAATTGACGAGGAAGACGGTGATGATCGAGAACAGCAGGGTGTTCAGGAAGATGAATGGAATGCCGATCAGGAAGTTGGACAGCAGGAATGACGTTGGGCCGTAAAGCCCGTTGTTCCGCTCCTTGACGAACGAAGAGTAGTCCTCAATGAAGGCGGGGATGTACGCTACCGCCATGAACGACATGAATGCGCCGGAGAAGAAGATGGCATTGGTAAATACTTGGATGTTGCGTTGCTCGGAGTCGAGACGCAGCCAGACGGTGCCCATCATCAGCGCGAGACCGAGGTACATCGCCACTCTGATCCAATAGGCGAGGATGTCGCGGTAGGACTTGATCCATTGCCGGTGCAGGAGAACGAATGTCTTATGGAAGGAGCTACGGTGCGATACGCCGGACTGAGCGAGCATATCGTTAGTGCCCTTGCGAAATTCCTTCGGTTTGTTGGTATCATTCCAGGCGTCGATGAGACGGTTGAGACGGTCCACGTCGCCCGCTTCGGCGTCGAAATCGACATTGCAGACATCGAGGTAGTACTCGGCAGGGTTCGTCAGGTTGGGCACCGGGAAGCCTTGTCCGGCGAAATAGGGTACGGCTTCGTCCGTCTTGCCGGAGTAAACGACTCTTCCCCTGGATAGTAGGACCAGCTGCGAGAATAGGGCGAATGTAGCGGTCGACGGTTGGTGGATGGATACTATGACGATCATGTTCTCAGCTTCTGCAACCTTTTTTATGCGAGACATGACTTCGAACGATGCGGTGGAATCCAATCCACTGGTCTAATGATCCTGTTAGAGACTGATGGGGGTGACAGACAAGCATAGGTAGGAACATACCGGTTCGTCCAGGAACAGGATCTTCGGCCTGGTAATCAACTGGCTAGCAACACTGACTCGCCGCTTCTGTCCACCGGAAATCCCCTTCTTGACCGGTGTTCCAATCATTGCATCTTGCTGCATCTCCAATCCGAACGCCTTGATCAAAGCAGTGACCCTCTCCTTCCGCCCGGCCCCGGTCGGCGCAAGTCTCGCGGCAAACTCGATAGTCTCGCGGACGGTCAACGAGCCTAATCACTGCAAATCAGAACCACGTCCCCCCGTCCAAACGCTCTCCCTCGGAATGGAGCCATACCGATCAATGCATCCTCCTGCTCCACGTACGTGCTGATACTCCTCAGGGTATCCGAGCCGATTTCATTCCCATCGATCAACAACTCCCCCTCGACCGAAGCCGACGCCGCGGCCGGTCTCCTCGCCAGGACGTTAAGCAGTGTTGTTTTCCCGGAGCCACTGGGGCCCATCAATGCGACCATCTCGCCTACAATATCCACCGCATTAGCATGTCGATACGGCGCATCTGTGCGAGATCTGTGCGGGATCTGTCTCGTCCCGTCCGATGTTACATACCTGGTCGAGCACCGCCGGTAATACCGTCGAGGATCTTGAACGGCTGTTTCGTTTTCGTGTCTTTGACGGTCACATTGACGTCCCGCCATTCGAACAGTTTGAGGAGCGCCCGAGCGTCGCCGTTGGCCTCGAGGTCGATCATGTTGAGGGCTGTGTCCGACATCGTTGACATGGGGAACGTGGGGAACGAGGTGATAATGGTATCGGCTTTCTGGATGGATGGATAAACGCTATCGACCTCACCGAACAGGAATACGGAGGATACTTATAAGTCATAACCACTACCAGAGCGGGATGCAAAGTGCTGGTTATTCTTCCCGATCGTTTGTCGGGACGTGGACGGTGGGACCGCTGTGTTGCCGTCATCCAAATACTCCGAGCTGAAGTGCACAGCGCAATATCGCCGAGTTAAGCATGCGCAGGCTATGTACATATGTGCATACATTAAGCATACATACATCCATATCTCGGCTTATAATTTCGCTCAGGCATCCTCACTTTCTCACTTTCCTGCACGCTTCCATGCGCGCCCGCCGCCTCCGGCGAATTAGCCACCACGAGCAATGCAGCCCAGCAAGGCTGCAGATATGTAGATGAGCCGGCGGATTAAATATAGCCACTCGGAGGCTTATCCTTCATGTACTCTACATACATGTGGTGATGTATGTATGGTACCGCTGACTGTTCGCCTAATAAAAAAAATCCTCCGCGAGAAAAACGCTGCTGACACCGAGAATCCCCCATGAGGCCGGCTGCTGGGCTGGTAATATCCTGCCATTGGTTTAGTGATCAGTTCTCGGCTCTGATTCCTGTTCTCCCGCTACACACCTACATAGGTACCTACAGGCTACCCGCTGGTCCGGCCACCAGAGAAAAATCCCCCGATATACATAGTACTCTAGATACCTCCCCGAAGGTAGACGACCGAAAACAGAGCTACGATAAGCCCGAGTCGCGCCGGTGATCTGTTGCCGGTTCCGGTTCCGGTGCCGTCAGCCAGCCAACCAGTCATGCTGCTGATTAGTTATCCAGCTGTGGCAACCCGCATGTGATTACTATTCTGGGTTTATTGTTCACAGGCGATCACTCGTACAGGATAGGCCGTCCCACGGGCCACAGCTTACGGGGGATTTTTTTGGGAAAATGGAACGAGTGACCGGGATGAGGCTTTCCGGTACCTAATCCGCTCCGTTCCTTCTTGGGAAAGTCACGAGTGGCGGGCCCGGTGTCCGTGTCGGTGCAGGTGCCAGACTGAACGGCCCGGACGGACGACTGCCATATCTCCCTCCTCCCCCGCCCGTGGCCACTACATAACTCGAACCCGTCTTTCCACGAGCGGATGAATTTCCGTCAACTCGCCAACCCGCCCGGCACCCGCGGTGTCGAGGATAATCCCGCCAAATCACAGTATATCACCCGCCCGCCCCGCGCGCCCCACGGCGGATCACTCCCCTTTCATCCCTCCCTTCCCCGCTCCCCTCCTTGCTCTCCTCCCACTCCCCCTTCCTCCCACTCCTACTACCACTCCTCCCACTCCTTACTACCAAGCCATCAACACCATCCATAACCCACAAATTTACGTACACACGTACAGATCGGGGAATATACGGTACTCTGTACTACCTCGCTACTCCACACGTAGGTCATCCGACCGGTGCGGCAACGGGGGAATGATCACTTTTTTCGTTCACTTCAGGGCTGGCTCAGGGCTGGCTCAGTGGAGCTTTGCCGTGCCACCACCGTCGCACACGCAGAGCAGAGCAGGGGGAGGGGGGAGAGGGGGGGAGAAAGCTCGGCGCGAGCAAAAAAGGAAGTATCGAGAAGAGCAGGCTGAACGGTGCGCTGTGTGCGTATGTATGTATATGGCAAGAGCAGGTAAGACAGGCGCCGTACCCCTCGGGACGTTGGCCGGTCACAGCTCGTTGCACCGGTAGGGTAGGGATACGAGCGGGGGATACGAGCGGGGTCGGGGGGAGTACACATTCAATATCAGGATGTCAGGAAGCCAGGACTCCGGGGAGCGGGGTTATTTATCCCCCCCACATCCTCCGCACATCCCCCGCACACCTCCCCTACCCCAGCACCTCCACCACCACCACCAGACCCCACACCCCACCACCCACCACACACCGCCCCCGCCCCCGCCGCAAATGGAAGCCCTCCTAATCAGCAACATAAAGCCGCTCTCCCCCTCACTCGCAGAATACCACACGTGGACCGCACGTGTAAAAGACCTGCTCTGCTACCTGGAGCTATGGCCGATCCCGCCCTCGCCCGTGCGCTCCGGCCACGGCCCGCACCGGTGGCCGGCAAACGTTGAGGTCCCCGCGCCCGCTGCTGTTTCAAGGGATCACGGGCTGCCAACATACTCGGCTGTGGCGGAGGCGGGGCAGGTGGGAGGTGCGGGAGGGGTTAAGGAGCAGGCGGAGAGGGCCGAGAGGAGACGCCTCAAGACCGTCGCGGTTATTAGAGCATGTCTGTCGGATTCGCTATTTTTGAGCTATGCGGTCAAGGAGTTTGATGATCCGGCAGCGCTGTGGGGGCAGTTGAAGATTACGGCGGCGGCGAGGGGGTGTTAGGTGCACTGGACGGGCTATGTGGGTGTGGGCTGTGGGTGTGGGCGGGCGGGTGGAGATGGGATTGGTGTTATACCTGGGAGGGAAGAAGTGGGCGTTCCTGGCGAATACATACTGGATTCTGATCTGGGTTTCACCTTTGACCTTTCACCTTGCACTGGGCACTGAGCAGAGTCGTTCATTGGAGGAGGAGGAGCAGAGTGTTTGCCATCCATCTCCGTCCCATCCCATCCCATCCCAATACATTCACACATCCAAGTGACCGCCCGCCTGCTTCGAAAAGATCCCCATTCACAGGTCAAGTCTGGTAGGTAATAGGTAATATACTGTACAATCCCACAAACTTACCCCAACAAATCTGCATCGTAATGAGTAGGTAAGTTTTAAGTGCGGCGGGTAAGAAGTAATGGACAAGAAGTGTGGACAAGAAGTGCAAGCAAGTAAGTGGTTGAAGAAGAACATCGATACCGTACCCGGGCAGCCCCAGCCCCATCTCCAGAGCTTGAGGGCCAAAACAGAAAGAAAAGGAACCCCGAAGGGAATAAAGGTTATGAGATGGTCGTCGTAAGGAATACATAATACTTAGTAAGAAAGTAGAAAAATTATAAAGGAAAAGAAGGTAGAGAAGAAGAAAGAAGAAGGAAAAAAAGGTAGAAGATAGAAGATAGTAGAAGAAGAAAAAAAGTAGGGTCATAGGCCGCCGAGCAAGGTGAACAAAAATCACAAAAAAAAACTCCAAAGGCACACCCGGCGCCAAAAAACCATCAGCCAAAAAGGACTGGACAAACATTGCGCACAACCAACCGACCCAACCCAATCCAAACCCAACCCAGCCTGGCCAAAATTCCACAAAGAGAGCAATAGAGTCCAAGCAGAAACACCAGTTTCCCTAACAAGCCGAACGAAATGAAAGCAAAGACAATCATCAAAACAAAAAGCGAGGAAAAGCAGACAAGCCACACCACGCCGTTCCGGTAAGAAGTAGCAGAAAGAAGAAGAAAAGGAAGAAGAAGACGAAGAAGAAGAGGAGGAGGAAGAATAAGAGGAAGAAAATGAGGAAACCAGAATCCCAGATCTAGAAATACAAGCACCGCCTACTGCAGATCAAAAACAGGTTAACGGCAAAACCCTGCAGACAAATGTTTACTCTACGCCTACGCCCAGGGGTTTCTTGCTCTCTATGCCTTGGAATCTCCCTTGGCATCCTCGCAGATGATGGTCTTCATCAAACCCGCCAACTTCGGCCACCCCTCCTCCATTCTCCCCAGCGCATCCAGCAGGATTTCCACCTGGTTCCGCACGGTTCCGTTCCCGTTCCCGCCTTCACCTCCCTGGGACACGAATCGGTAACACAGTATGCGTGCTGCCATGAACAACGTAGGTGCCAAAAGCGGGTTCCCAAGGACCCTATCGTCATCGGGATCCAGCGTGCTCGACACATTACGGATCAGCGTGAGAATGTTTTCCACCGCGTTGACGCTGCGCTGCTCGCCGTCTTGTTCGTCCCGTCCGTGTAGGAATATGGTACACGCGTGAGTGGTGCAGCCCAGTAGTAAGACGGTGGGCATCTCCTTGGGAGATACACCGATCATGGAGCGGTATGGTTTCGGTATGTTCAAAAGGAAGCGCGTCAAGGCGAGATCAAGGGCCATGGACTCGGTCGAGGAGCGCTGCGGGCGCGGATGGTGGAGGATGCGGCCGAGGAGGACAGCGAGCTTGCAGAGATGCTGGTAAGCATCGCGCTGTGGACTCTGACTGTTACCCATCATCGTTGAGGGAACGAGCCCGTCCAAGCTGTTGGGAAAGGGATCGATGACCATGTGTTCGACACTCTACAATACGAGTCAGCATCGGAGGGGCGGGCCAAAAGCTGTGATCGGAATATAAATACCTCCAGTGATCCACTCTGAAAGACGTCTTCCGATACTGGAAAGTTCACGTTGAACTGCGAATCATCGATACACACGGGCCAGGGCACGGAGGTGGTCGAGAGGCGGTCCAAAATGAAAATCGCCCACACAGTCCTCCTGCGCTCTTCGATCTCCAGTTCGTTACGCGGGTCCGGAAGGAATCCTCGGAATGCCGAGTTGGAGTCGATCCTGTCGAGACCGAGCGGCGAACACATGCGCCATACCGAGCCGAGGAATATCCACATCTGCGACATCTGCGACAGCCCGAACATCCGCAGACACAGGTAGATCCCGCCCTGTACTGCATGCATCGTGAACTGGCCCTCACTAACTGCGCGATCAAAACACGCCTTGCCGAGCGTAGCCCAGTAAGAAGAAGCCGCTTTCACTCCGGCGTCAGGGTGAAGGTAGCCCGAGAGGGCGAGAATCGCAAAAGTCAGCGTGTTCGGCCGGGTTAGGGGTCCTTTAGACGCGATATCCTCCATGACGCGCTTCTTGTACAGAAACGGGAGAATCGTATGCCATTTCTCAAAGAAAAGGTTGAATAGTACTTTCATCAACTCCGGCGAAGGGAGCCCATCATCTGACAGCTCTGGCATCTCATCCGTGACCGCGTCGTCGCCAGCCAGCAAATGAGAGGTATCGATCTGCGCGAGGCCAACGAACGGCGACGCCTGCAGGAACTGCGTCGCAAACTGCGTCGCATCGCATTCCACGTGCGTTGTATGGCTCGGGGGATTAATCGCGCGCGCGCTGACATCGGGCGACGAGTCGAGGGATGAGAAGGAGCGTTTGCGCGGGTTGAAAGTCGTACTCCCGTTAGTGAGGTTCGGCGAGAGTCGCGACGACGCGAAAGTTGGCGATACGCGTGCGCCCGTAGCATCCGCGTTGACAGGTGTGAAGCCACCTCCTCCGCCGGTACCGGAAGTCGAGCTGGGCGTCGGGCGATGGACCGTGGGGACCGTGAGGCTAGGCGTCATGGAAGTCCCGCGCATCGCAATCGGCGGATCATGCGCGGCGGGCGTCTTGGAGCCTCGGGTGGTCGAAAGCGACGATTGCTCAGCTGGGGCGCGATCAGCGGGTTGGTCCGACGATCAATAGTGGGGGAGGGGGGGCATTCAACTCACCTCGATAATGGGCACTCGAATGAATTTTAGTGACCGCATTATTCGTATAAACACAAGGCCGATCGAGTCGCTCGCAAGCTCCACAGCTTGGCTTACATCCCTATGTCGTGAGAGTTGGAATTAGCGACGATTCGGAGGTAGTGATAACGTGATGTTTTATTTTTATTTTGAGTTTTTTTTTTTAATCGCGGACGCGTTGCGACAGCGGGGGAGGGGGACGTACGTCGCACTTGCGCTTTCGTTGGCGACAACCCAGACACGCCTGGTTCCTTTCCAGCACCTTCTTTGTCGGCGGTGTATCCCGAGTGTTATTCTGGTGCGCGAGTGACGGCGGGGCAGGTGTGGTGCTCATCGCGACGGCATTGGTCGAGGCCGAGGGAGCTGCGTTAGTTGCGGGAGGGGAGGTGGGAACGGACATCGAGCGGGAACCAACAGCGGGGGGCGACAGCGCTCGGTGGGCCGAGTGAGTCGGAGATGTGGGCGAGTTGGAGGGCGACAGCATCTCGTGAGCGAGCACCAGCGACGGACTCGAAGGCGCGGCGGCAGTCAGAGGAGTAGACGCCGGCGACGGTGACCGGATCGAGGGAGGGCGGGCGGACGGAGGAGGAGGAGGAGGCGGAGGGGTGGCGGCCATGGTAACGACGGAGTAGGTTGAAGGGGAGCGGCGAGAAGCGAAGGTTGGGGCGGCAGCGCAACGATGACGACTTCCTTCTGGGGGCTAGCAGGCGACGCAAAAGTGGCCCGCTTCCTCTCCTCCTTTTCCAAGTCTCCGCGCAGAGCGCTTTCGCCTCCGGCCTTTCTCTCTCTCAGCAGAGACTCTTCCGTCCGACTCCTGCCTCCTACTTTTTATTTTCGTATTTTTATTTTTATTTTTTATTTTTTATTTCTTTCTGATATCCTTCTCGAAGCCGCAAAGATGTTCTGCGCCGACAGCTTCTTGTGGGCGATGTTGTAGTTGGATGGATAATCACTTGCGCGCTGCACCTGTGGTCGAAATCGGAATATATTATTGTCGAGTGAGAAACAGGCTACGCTGCACTGCCCGCCTGACGATAAATAGATAGTAGATGGATGGGCAAGATGCGATAATGGAATGCGCGACACTGCGGAGGTGGGTGGGGGGAGATGGGCGGGGTGGCCGATGGGCGGGGTGGCCGATGGGCGACGGGTGGTGGTGATGGAGGGTGTAAACACGGAGCAGCGCGATCACCAACGAGAGGGGGAAAAGAGGAGGAGGAGAGGGGTGAGATGGTGGAGCGAGTAGAAGGCCAGGGCGAGGGCGAGGACGATTCAAGGCGAAATGACGCGCGCAAAAGAGCCTGATAGCGGAGAAGCGGAGCTGGGGAGGGGGCGCGAAGTGATAGGCTGTAGGCGAGGCGCGCGTATTGACAGGGCGGGAAACATACACGAGGTCTAGAAGCAGAGGGGACGATGCGATGGAAGGGAAGGGAAGAGATGCTCGACAAAGGATCGGGATCGAGTATGAGTTCGAGGTCGAGTGCGAGTCGAGTCCAAGTTCGAGTAGATGCAGAGATGCAGAAGCGGAGAGAAATAGAAGGAAAGGGAAAGGAAGGGAAACGAGCGAGCGGAGAGGGAGAGAGGGGGGGGGGTCGCAAGTGGGAGGAAGACACACCAGGAAAGGGAAGGAAGGAAGGGAAGGAGGAGGAGGAGGGCGCAAGCAAACGAATGGAGCTTCCGTCGGGGAACGCATTCTTGCTCCGTCCAGTGGCCGACCGAACTGCTGCTTGCTGCGGAGGGGGTGGGCAGGCGACAGTAGTAGAGCGCCAGCCAGCTTCCTTCCTTCCGACTCTTCCCACTCTCCTCCACTCCACTTTCCTGGCCTGCGCTGGGGGGACTTGACTACTCCTCGTCGGCTACTTACAACCCCTCCCCCTCCCTCCTCGCTCTTCTCTCCTCGCTCCCTCCTCCTCCTCTAGCCGCACTACAGCTTACTTACTGTCGCCTTCCCAAACACGAAGGGTCACCCACTCACTCCCACAGCGCCCATTCCCTCAGCACCCACCGAGGTGGCGGCCCTCCGCACGCGTGCGCGCCCTCTTCTTCTTCTTCTTCCTTTCTTGCCGGTGGTGTCTTCGATCGAAATAAATAACAGCTGCCCACCCCCCTCTCGTTCTGGTCGTATTGCTCTTGTCCCCATGATATGATGGCAGTCTGCCAGTCTGCCATGGCCCATCACTCCTCTCCCCCCCTCGCCCGTCGCGCAGCCGACGTGACCTCCCTTAAGCCTGTTTCTGATTTTCCGCGCCCGCCGCATCCCCCCTCCCCTCCCATCCCCTCCCCATCCCCTCTCCCCCCACCCCACCCACCCCCTCGCCCCTAACAGAACCCACGCAGAAACGTGCCTAAGTAGGTACCAGTACTCTGCCTACATATCTCATTTCCCGGCGAGACGGTGCGGGCAGTCCACAAGCAACCAACTCGCATTTCGTGCGACGGGCTTTACTGCTGCACGGCTACTCCCGCAGGCAGGCTGGCCTATGTAGGTAAGTCATAGGGTAGCAGGCATGTATGATATGTATGTGTGTATGTAGGGGGAGAAGAGACGGGTTTCATTCTCCCCCGCCATCATCATGCGCCCATCCTCGACCCCCCCTCCCCCCCTCTCAGCACCACCACCACCACCACCACCACCACTACCACACACCCACAGAGAGAGATAAAGATAAAGCGTGTGTGCGTGAGCGAGCCATGTTCCCCACCCCCTCCCCCCAAATCTTGCAAGTACATACCCAAGATGACGGGCCTGTCCGCTCCCGACGACTACGGTATGTATGTATGATAGTCACCCGCCGACCTTGCCGCGGTATGTAACCAAGTTTCGCGCCGTGCGGCGACGACCTGGCCTGGATAGGGCACGAGTGGGGGAAAGCAGAAGAAGGGGGGGAGGGTGGAGGGAGGGGAGTGGGGAAGGAAGAAGAAGAAGAAGAAGGGGAGGCCCGTAAGATTCGGCAATTCTTGCCTGGATGGATAGGCGCGTATACTAGAGTACTCTACTCTACCTACCTACTGCGACTGCGGTGCCTAACCTTGTGGGGGTGAAGTGGGTGGGGTGGGGTGGATGGGGATGCGGCTTGTCGGATCGGCTTCGAACGAAGAGGGCGAGGGCGGGCGGCTAGGTTAATGGGAAGGAAGCTGGTGTTTGGTCTCCTCTTTGCTCGCCCTTCTTCTCTTCTCTTCTCTTCTGCGTGGCACGGCGCGGTGGAGAGAGGATAGAGTGGGAAACGTAAAACCGAGGGGGGGCGGGAGGGGGGGGGACGCATACCGTACCGTATTCTTTCGGCCGGCCTTGCGCTACGCCCGCTGCTTCCTGTTCCTGTTCCTGCTTCCTGCTTCCTGTTCCTCGCACTCGCACTCGCACCGTATCGCGGCGACCCGACGGAAGGATGCATCCAGCATCCATCCAGCATCCATCCAGCATCCATCTAGTCCGATGATGCATCGCGCGCGCGCGGCGGGGGGGCGGGGGGAGGGGGGAGGGGGGAGGGGTGGCTAACTGAGTGGGTGGGTGGAAGGGTGGACAACTCATCCACCGTCACTCGCGTCTCGCGTCTCGAGTCTCGGTCATTCCGATTCCGCCTTGATGAAACAGTTCTTTTTAGTTAAAGTGGAAGTTGGTGGTCGCCATAGTCTACCGTACTCTAGTAAGGCCGCATGCCGCATGCGACAATAACTAAATTGATGTTCTCTCTCACAGTTCTTTTTAGTCGATTTCAATCCGTACCTAAATACATCATACCGGTACTTGTAGGTGGGCGGTGAGTGAGCGGCGCGGCGACGGCATGACTATCGCAAATGAGGAATGAATACCTAGAATCCTAGATCGCTCTCGCCGAAAATATACTCCATGCAAATAGGTATTTCATGCATGTGCATGTCGATTCGAGCGGCGCGGTGCGGTGCGGTGCGGGCGACACGCGGTCGACATGCGGGCGGGTGGGGCGGATGGGGTGAGTGGGGTGGAGTGAGTGGGGGGGAGGGGAGAGGGTGGGGTGAGGATAAGTTACTATACTCTAGTGACCGGCGGAGCGGGTGTTGCCCGCCGCCCCCGCCGCCGCCGCGCCCACTCATTTCCACCGAAGCGAAGCGAGATAATCGATAGGGGTGGATTGAGCGGAGTCGGCCACGCGTATCATGTCTATCCATCCATCCACGGTTCCACGGTTCCACGCCGCATGCTGGGCCCTGGCGCATTACTTGTTTATCCAACTAGAGTATGTATGGCCAACCACTGAGCTGAGCCCAGCCCGCGAGTGATTGGTAATTTGTCGAGGAATGGGGATGGGGAAACTTACGGTTACTAGATATACTGTGGCGCATGGCGTGCATAGATAAGTCTGCATAAGTGAGATGTACTTATGCTGAGTAGCGATAAGTAGTGAGGGAGTGAGGGAGTGAGTGATGACCCTAACCCTCTGCTCCAAACGGGTATGATACCTTTTTCGCTATACCGTATTCCTTCCAGCTTTTGCTCTGAAGCAAAGCAAAGAGGTTTTGTGAGTGGGATTCGTTTTTTCTCTGATCAGGGGGCGGGTGGCGGGGCGAATATATAGATAGTAACGCCGCCTTGAGTAAGAGACTGTAAGACCATCGCCGCGGCGTGGGCAGCACACATTATAGTAAAGTGAATGGATGGATGAATGATGGCTGGTGAACACTACCTTTTATACCGAATGTACAATGTACATACGATGGCATATCTCGCGATATGTGTCCCTGGTACAGTAGATACGGTACGTATCGGCCGAAACCTCTCTTCCTCGAGTACCCAGCAGTTACCCAGTACTATTAGGTAGAGTAGTTAGCCAGTGATCCGTTCTACCTGTATTCTAGAGTTCGGGGACGATGGCGGCGATGCCGGGACTCGGGACTCGGTCAGCCTCCTCTCCGGTGGCCGGTCTTCTTCACAACTGGTCACCCTGCTTGTACAAGAAGCTCGCGCACTTCTTGGTAACCAAGTAGGCGGGAAAGAAAAAACTGCTTAGGCACTACTCCCGCAGCCCGCAGCCCGCTTAAACTACGTAAGTTCTCGTAGGTTAGCTATGTACCTATAGCAATTAGTTATGCATAGTGCAATCGCGTGGAGTGCGTATATACCTCATACTTCAACTGCGCTCAACAAAAATACGATGTTGTATCATGTATCTATGATATTTTGCACAGCGACGAACTTGAACCTGAGCTCGACGGGAGATGCTCTGTCGAGCTGAGAACATTCAATAGTCGAGCTCATCGGGCTCATCGGGCTCATCGGACACTGTGCTTGTATGCGGCCATGATGGTGGGCGGGCGCGCAGCTCCACCATCAGATGTGAATATCGATTCCCTAGTAGTAGAGGTCAGCTGTAATTCACCAGATTCAGAGATTGTATGGTATGTAGGAGAAGGAGAAGGAGAGGGAGAAGGAGTGGCTATACTAAGTTACCAGTAACCTTCTTTCCGATCCCTCACGATCCCTCACGTAGACATAGGAAGTATGAAGAGTGAAAGGGGGCGGCAGATTAGACCTATGTATGTGTGATAGGAGTATATGATAGGAGCATATACATAGTAGTGTAGTAGTGTAGGCGGCTTCGCTAGATCTGCCGCCTAGTTATCTAGTATGCATGTATGTATTCGCTGGATAGCTGGATAGTATCAACAACAGATAACCAAACAGCTGAAACTGTCCTCCACGATCGAAATCGAATGCCCAGTGGCATCGGGGAACAGCAAACGGCGGAGTGAACAGTGATGGCTGAGTCCTAACCGTGGCATATCCCCTCCCTCTCGGTTCCCCAACAAGTGGACGGCTCGCACCCCGCGGTTGGCCCCCGAAGCCTAGAATATCTCACGAGCTCGGCGGCGGTGAGGGGGCGGTGGGGGGAAAAGATGTATCCAGCTGTTCTAATTTGACGACGCCGTTGGTACGGCGGTAGTTAGGTGGAGATAGTATGTACAGTAGGAGCCTAGGAAAGCAATGTATCGACTGCCTTCAGGAGCTCCTGAGAGCTCGCTTGTGTTTTTTGTTTTGATTTGCCGGCGCTATTGAGGCGGTGATAGGTAGGTTGTGGAGGTATGTACGGTACGAGTCTAGGAAAGTGATATATCGACTCCCCTCAGGCTTCAGGAGCTCCTGGGCGCTCACTTGAGTTTTTTTGTTTTTTATTTGCGCAAATTTTTTGCTGGTGGCCGCTCACCGCTGATGGTGGCCGCTATTTCTTTCTCTCGGTGAGTATCATAGAAGTAGTTAGAAGGGGCATTGAGGACGGGACACCTGCCTGGGTAGCCTGTTTCCGCAAAAGATGCTCAGTCAGTCATTCCGAAGTTCGCTGTTTGCTGTTTGCTGTTTCAACGTTTCAACTTTCGACCTATGAATCATCATGATAGATACCATGGAGCGGTGAAGCGGGGGGAGCGGGGGGAGCGGTGAGCTCAAGGCCGTCATTGGTTCGATGACTGGCTTGCTTGCTAAGCTAGTACATACTATGTATGCCCCAGAGCTCAAGAGCTCATAGGTAGGGTAGGGTCGGTTCGACTTGCGACTCCTCTTGAGCCCCGAGTCCCGAGTCCGGAGTCGATGTCGATCCCACTACGAAAGTCTTCAGTCTTCACCGCCGCGCCGGTGGTACCGTTGTAGGTAAATGACGGATGTGAAAAGTGAGTGACGACGAGCGAGCGAGCGAGCGAGCGAGCGCACGCGTTTGCAAGCTAGTTACATCATTATTTTACCGGAAAGAACTGGAGCAATCCCCAACCTATGATCTACATGAAGGAATGAAGCTGAAGTGCTTTCCTCCACCTCCTCCACCTCCGCCGGAAACGGATGCACTACTAGTAGCTATCCCC